CAACTAAAAATAGCAGAGGCAGAAAAAGTTACTGCAGTAGTTTAAAAACAGCAGTGGGGACCTTGACCAAAGAAAAGCAGAGTTTTAGCTTTCCTGGGGTAGATTTGTACTGCTTTTGATGGATTCTGAAAGAAATATCCTATCAGAATATATACTCAGGGACATTTTTCAATTATGTTCAAGAAGGCTGTTGAACAATCAATATTAATATTTGAAATAATGGACCACTTGTTGGCAGGCAAAATGATTAGTAAGCTCATTCTCAATCAAATAGGATTTTTCTAAAGAAAAACAGGCTTGAAAATGGATTGGAGGCTTTTGATCAGGAGAGAGAATTTGACACTATCTTGATAGTTAAATATAAGGACCTCTGAGTCATTCTTCTGATTAAATATCAGTGCTAATACTAGAAATGTCATGATATAAGAAGTAATTGGACCATTTTCTGTGAGGGAGATAAACTTTTGAGCTCTTCTACCTTGTCTTGCCAATATTATAAATGGCAGCAGATAGGGTATGTCTCCACTGCCTAGTATGTAAATATGGGTATGTCTACACTGCCACCCTAGTTCGAACTAGGGTGGCTAATGTAGGCATTTGAAGTTGCAAATGAAGCCCGGGATTTAAATATCCCGGGCTTCATTTGCATCTTGCCGGGTGCCGCCATTTTTAAATCCCCGTTAGTGCGGACTCCGTGCCCACGGCTATACGTGGCACGGAGTAGGTAGTTCGAATTAGGCTCTCTAATTCAAACTACCATTACTCCTTGTGGAATTAGAGAATGGTCCAATCACTTCTTACATAAAATGGTCCAATCACTTCTTATATAAAAATGGCGGCGCCTGGCAAGATGCAAATGAAGCCCGGGATATTTAAATCCCGGGCTTCATTTGCAACTTCGAATGCCTACATTAGCCACCCTATTTTGAACTAGGGTGGCAGTGTAGACATACCCATATTTACATACTAGGGATGTGAAGGTTTAATCAGTGGAGTAACAGGGGGCTGCTCCAGTATCTTTTTTTGTTGTTGTTTGTTTTACACTCAGAACAAATTACAGGCTTAAAGAGATGTGATTTGAAAAAAAATTAGTCTGAATGTTGTACTACTGTGGTGACAAATCACACCTAAAATGACTAATGTAAAAGAAAGCAAAATTTTAAAAAAAATCTTTTTGTCTAGTTTCACCACTTCCCTGGAAAAGCTTTTCTTGTGGAAAAGTTTTGCATAAATGTAAACATTGGAGAAAAATACCCACAATAAGGAATTCAGTTTGGAAGCATTCTTGTAAACTTCCTGTCCTGGTCTCTATCCAAAGTCAAATGGGGAGGAAATACTCCTCCCCGTTTTCCAGTTGTAAAAAGAAACAGCTGAGCTTTGAAGCATGAAAGTTGATATGGACCTCATGCTTGTTGAGGCGGACTTCCAGTGCTTAGACTGAACCAAAATAATGTTGATTTAATCATTCAATATTGTATTTTGGATATGTGCACTGGAAGAATGACACGCGCACGGCAATACAGATACAGAAGTGCAAACATTGGTTTTTGGAATTCAGCTGTAGCAAAGGCAGAATTTTAAAGCTTTGCTAACAGAATACAGGCAGTCCCCGACTTACGTGGATCCGACTTATGTCGGATCCGCACTTACGAACGGAGCTTTCTCGCCCCGGAGCTCGAAGGCAGCGGTTAGCCACCTCGACCTCCGGGGCGAGAAAAGCTGCTCCCGGTGCCCCTGGTCTGCTGGGGACCGTCTCCAGCAGACCGGGGGCACCGGGAGCAAAGCCGCAGCGGCGGTGGGGTCCCGCGCCTCTGAGGCTTTGCCAGGGCAAAGCCTCAGAGGCGTGGCACCCCGCCACCGCTGCGGCTTTGCTCCCCGTGTCCCTGGTCTGCTGGGGGGGGGGGGCAGCTAGGGCGCCCCTCCCCGGGGCAGAGCAACTCTGCCTTGGGCTTTCTGTAGTCAGCCGCCGGTCAGTTTCAGCAGCGGCTGAATCTGGACGCCAGTTCCGACTTACATACAGATTCAACTTAAGAACAAACCTACAGTCCCTATCTTGTACATAACCCGGGGACTGCCTGTAGCTGTGGAGTAAGGAGCTTGTAAGTGCCACAAGAAAAAATGTCACAAAGATGTGAATTTTGGAATAAGCAGTAATACTTAACCAAAAAGGAATAGAAAATGGTTGGCTGAATCTGGACGCCAGTTCCGACTTACATACAGATTCAACTTAAGAACAAACCTACAGTCCCTATCTTGTACATAACCCGGGGACTGCCTGTAGCTGTGGAGTAAGGAGCTTGTAAGTGCCACAAGAAAAAATGTCACAAAGATGTGAATTTTGGAATAAGCAGTAATACTTAACCAAAAAGGAATAGAAAATGGTTTATATAGACCAGTGGTCCCCAACCATTTGAGGCTGCTGGGCGCCAGGGGGCGTGGCCGTTTGCCTGCTGGGTGCCAGAGGGTGGGGACACTTGCGCACCCGGGGGCGGCTCTCCCCCATAGAAGCGCGCCCGGGGGCAGCCCCCCCCCCATAGACGGTGGCCAATTCGCCGTGCACCCGGGGCCGGCGCCGCCCCCAAGTGCTGCGCGCCCGGGGCCGGTGCTCACCCTTCGCCATATGCCCAGGGCCAGCTCCGGCATCATGCATGCATCGCGTGCCTGGGGCCAGGTCACTCCTGAGCACTTGGCGGGCGCACACAAATGCCCCCGCGGGCACCATAGCGCCCACGGGCACCATGTTGGGGACCACTGATATAGATTATTCAGTGCAAATACAGTACACACTCATATTCTTCTGGATAAAGATCTAGTTTATATTATTCAGACGTGCTTTAAATCAAGCAATAAAATGTACTTTTGGAACTGCAGTTTCTGATTTGCATGGCCAGGCTTTTTATAACTAACTATGGACACTGTATGAATGCTGTGTTCTGTATTTTACAATATTTTTTTTACAATTTTGATTAAATTATTGGTACACCACAGTAATATTTGTTGCTGCTTAGACACAAAGAAACGGCTTATGCATTTATATTTATATTCCTCTATAAAAAGTAAATTTTATCCTAATCTTTTTGGCACCCTTAGAGCTCAAGTCTCATGGACTAATTGTGCCTTTGAACAGTGGTGCTGTGGAGAAACGAACAGAAAGGGGACACGGGCCATGTGACTACCTCCTGCTCCCACGTGTCTCCTGTTTTCACACCTCTAGCCTGTGCGGGAGGGTGAGCCCTAGGGAGGCTGGGCCCTGCGTCTGCCCTACCCCTCTTCATCCCTTCCTCAACACCTCTCCCCCGAGTGATGCTGCTCAGGGGATTAGTGAGTGGAGGGGGGCTGTTGCTGGCAGCAGAAGTTGCCACGTCTTACCCCACTGTGCTCACTGGCAGCAGTGTGGGAAAGCAGAGTGACCTTGCCCCAGCCCACTTTGTTTCCCTGGCTCCCAGCAGTGTCACTCAGCTTCTGTTGCTGTTGAGTGTGGGTCTGGCGGGGGTGCTAATTCCCCGGGCTGCGTTGCTTGGAGGAGGGGGTGGAAACACCCACTGCACTCATGGACGGCAGGGAGTTGAGTGATGAAGCTGGAAGATGACAGAGGGGAGTGGTGTAGAGCTGACTTGCTTCACTTCCCACTGCAGCTGGGGAATGTACCCTCTGCCAGTCTTCTGGGCCACACGAGTCTGCCAAAGTGTGGGGCTGGAGCAGTTGGACAAACTGTCTGTAGGATGGGACAGCTCTGCCACTGGTTGCGGGTCCCTTGCCTTGGACCTCCCCAGTGGCCGGGGAGGGGGAGGGGGGAAGGATCCCACTCCATATCCCCCTCCATTACGTCACCCCTGCCTCTGAAAATTAATCTGTAGGCCTTTTAAAATGCCTGTTTCCTAGTGCATCTAATAAGCAATTTTGTTGAGAATTCTTGAAATGTGAACTACACCAAGATATCTAGCTTTCGGTCTTAACTTGGAAAAGAAACATTTTCTGATGTCCAGTTCACTATGTTTAATTTAAAAATTAAAGTAATTAGACTTGGGAGAATTTGACTTTACTATTTTGATGATTAATATAAAACGTTTCTTTAAGTATTTTTTGACTTCTCTATTTCACTTTTCTCAGTTGCAAGAAATTATGGGGTATGTTTCAGACAATAGGAAGGTCAGAACAATTTAATCATGATAGATGTTGAGATTAGGGATGTTAAAATGCATTTACATCGGGGGAGGCAGGAACCAGTGCTCACGGGGATCTGGCTTTGTCTCCCATTTCCCCCACCTCAACTCCTGTGCTGCTGCCTCCAGCAGCGTGGGTTTGGTGGGGAGGAGTAGGTGGCTTCACAGGAATCTGTGCTCGTGGGGAGCTGAATTTTAAGCTCCTCTGTAGTAGGCAGTGGGGGGGACGGACATGTGGCATGGAAAGAGCAGGTTTAAAGCTCTCCCCTCCCCCCAGCCTCTGATATAGAGGCAGCAGCGGGGATGGACTGCATGTAACAGGGTTAACCAATGAGCCCAGGTTCATCAATTTACCATGTAGTCGGCTACACATTCGCATCCCTAGTTGAGATTCAAAACGTTTTGTAACTGCTAAAATGCAAATAATCAATATTACATGTCCAAATATACAAAAGTAAATCTGAGCATTAACTCAAATTCAAGCAGATTCTCAAACAACATTTTTCTTTCTTTGCCTATCTGCGAGTTTTAATTATTCTAGATAGGGATATTTGTGTATATATGGTGAAATAGACATTTACAAATACGAATATATACTTCCAAGTCTGTTTGAAAAGAGAGCATGCTAGAAATGACAAAGGTTAGAGTAAAAAGCGATCCTTTCTTACATCAGCATAAAACTTGTATTATAAAAGCTTGGATTGTGGATACAGAGATCACTTCTTCCTATCCTATGAATTTTGTTAAAATAATTTTCTCTAACTACACTGTAGCAGTAACTATTCCATCAGATCCTCCTTGAGCAATGTGAACAGAATCTTCATTTCTCTTTTGCAGAACCCTAAAACAAAAGAGCAGATTGAAAATCTGTTACGGAATGGGATGAATAAGGAGCTGCGGGATCGTCTCTGTTGCAGGCTGACCTTCGGGACTGCTGGGCTTCGTTCTGCCATGGGGGCAGGTTTTTGCTACATTAATGACCTTACAGTGATCCAGTCAACACAGGTAACTGTTGGGTAACATTATACAGGCAGACTACTTGTTTATAACTTCATAGTAATCATCTTGGGAAGGGTTGTTTTACTCTGGCAGAGTCTCAGTGGAATATGGCCACTCCTATGGTTGGACATCTGGTGCCTGGTAACTAATGACCCTGGACTACCTCCTTATCCCCCAGTTGCAGGAAGCTGGCTCTTTTTGACCATCTGGGCAACAAGAGAGCTAAGGTAGAAAACCAGGTGACCCTGTTTAGCCTGGGAAGAAGAGCAAAGAATGGAGGAGTGACCCTAGGGATTGTATAGTGTGGACTTATAGCAGCAGGAGACACACTTCTGTTTTAAGGACAAAGAATCTCAGGACTGACTCAGATGGACTACTATAACTTTTTGTATTCTCAACGCTAACTAAGGAATTTCTATGCTCTGTTCCAGACCTCTAATAAACCTTTCAGACAGCATTGTTAAAAAAAATAGAGACACACTGAGGTTAGGGGTGTCCCAGATCTCCCCTAGGTGGACAATTTGAGTAGACTCTCATTTGGGGGGAGCTCATGGTGTGAAATGGTGCCAAAGGCGCTGTAGAGTTTGGACCCAGGAGACGGTGAAGTTAAGGGGCTCATCTAAGGATGTAAAATCCTGTTTAAAATGTTAACCAGTTAAACTATATGGTTTAACTGGCCTGTAGTGCCATGGATGGGCTTGCTGGTGATGTGGTGGGCCCAGTCAGACTGGAACACTCCTCCACCCCATCTGGAGCAGGGCACTGGTTAACTAGTTACCCCAGTAAGCATGCTGGTAAGGCAATGCTTACCAGGTAACCGGTTAACCCTTTGCAACCCTCGACTTACCCCAGTGAGAGAGTATGACCCTACTTTAAAGGGATCCTCCCAGGAATTATTCCAGAGCTGTTCAAGAGCACCAGACCTGTGAATCTGACACTGAGGCCTCCATCCATTTGAGCCAGCATTTGGAAAATTCCTTGAGTTGGAGAGCTCAGAACATGCATACTTCATGCATATCGCAGATTGTAAAGCACTCAGGTGGATAGGAAAATCCTTGGAGATGCATGGAGCAGTTCACATCCCTCAGATCTACTGTTTTAGATTATATTCCTCTCAAGGGGATATTTCTCATGCTGAGAACATCATATTACAATGAATGGGCCACTTCACCCCTTTCAAGCCCTCCCATGCTGTCAGTGGATGTATAAAAAAGCCCTTTCCATCCTCACTTCCTGTTTAAAGGACACTTCTGAGTGCTCTAAAAGCTTCATGCTTGCATGGATTTTTGTTGAATTAGCCAAGTCTTGGGTGAGAGTAGGGCTGTTGATCCAAATTTGGGGTCACTGAGCTAGGGATTACAAAGAGATAAACTTGAAGAGGAAAAATAGCCATTTTTCAAAAATAGGCTCGGATTATTTTCCCTCACTGAGCTAGAGGTCAAACTGTTGCTCTGATGCAGGTCAAAATGGGCTCACTTGATCAGTTTTGATCTCTGGTTTTGCATGGCACCTGCTAAGTCCCTGGGAGACTCTGGGAAAAATTGCTGTCCCAACAGACCCTCTTCTTGGCTATATTTTGGCTCTGCAGCAATTTCTACCTTGATTCCCCCCTCCCGCTCAATATGTTTTGCCTTTTCTATCTGTAGTAGTGTGCTGGGCTGCTACTTGATCTCTGGGAAGATTAATTTGGTGTTTCCAAAGATGCACAGCATGGAAGTTGATCACTGATGGAAAGGAAATATGTGTACTGCCTGGACTTGGCACCATATGGATTCAGGGTGATTCTTGGATCATGAGGTTTCAGAAACTTATAGGAGAGCAAAGAGAACAGCTTGACATGGGGCATGCTGGCTACAAGCTGCTTTGCTTGAGAGAGTTGGCTTGCATTTGTATCACGTTTTATCCACCCTGAAGCATCTAGCTGGTGTAGTTAGAGGTATTAATCAATGATAGTGATTCATGTAGCAATCGTTTTTATTCCTGATACAGTAAAACTCCATTAGTCCGGCATCCAATGCTCCGGGACTCCTGATGGTCCGGCACCATCAGGAACCCGGAAGTGCTGGGGCAGCCGGACAGGCTTCCCACATTCAGCTGCTGCTGAAACTGACCAGCAGCTGGGGTGCTGCCAGGTTGGTCCTGTAGCGCTGCCCCTCGGGGCTGCGGGACCAACCCGGCAGCACCCCAGCTGCTCTTTGGGACGCCTGGGGCAGAGCAGCTGGAGGGGCGCCGGGGTGGGGAGGCAGCGCCGCTCCTCGGCACTACTGGACCAACCCTGCAGCACCCCAGCTGCTCTGCCCCAGGCGTCCCC